GGGGGGGCGTTCTTCTTTTTGTTTTGCACTATCTGAGATCGGAGAGAGAGAGAGAGAGAGGACTTAGATCTTGATTTGAGATCTTCGAGTTCCCCTTCGAGTTTGGCGTTTCTTTCCTTTTGGTCCAGGGAAGAACTACGCGATTTTGCTAGGAAATCCCCACAGACGGCGCCAAATTGTTTGCTCAAAAGTTATCATATACCTTATGAGTATAAAACAATATAAATGAATCACGGGAAAATCATAGCAAACCGTAATAATCCGTTGGACCAAATGAAGAAAACGAAAATAAGTACTCAGGGTTAGGGGGAGAAACACTAGAAGCCTTTATTGATAATATTGGTTTGGTCTGCCTCTCCATAAAGAGGTTCAGAGCCTTACAATGGTGCTCCTCTTGTCCATACTATGGGTCTCGTTATCTCTTTTTTCTCTCGTCAATAGTGAAAAAGAAGAAGCCCCCCTTTCTAGGGTTTCCTCTCTTGGTATTTATAGCTGTGAGCTTCGTGAGCTGGCAATAAGTGGCCGTGACCACGTTGGGATTTCACCTTCATGGTGGCGGATGGGCCATGGCCTTGCTGATCGAATCAGATGCGGGTTGAATATCGTTAATTCTGAGTAATCGTGCCACTAATTAATCATGAATTAGCTTAAGACGGGATTAGCTTCGTTAATTATCGTGAGGTCGGATTCTGACCCATACAAAATGCATTTTCTTGTGTTTTGAAGAAAGTTTTCTCTTTTGATGCTAGCTCAATAAACTCTTTAAGTAGATTATCTCTGACAGTATCTCTACCGCAGACATGTTTCTTTTCCTTTCTCATTTCGGTCACTATATTTGATAATGTCATGTCTTCCTCAGTGAGTATGGATATGGAATGGATAACCAGAGTTTGCTTTTACTGCAGCAGCGAAACTTTTAAAGAGAAGTGCACGGACAACTTCATTGCGCGACGGATTTTTGACACTTGATTTAGCAGCTATTGAGGCCTTAAGTTCATCAAGTTTTTGGCCAGAAAAGTGTATCTTCTGTGAATGCTTTCATCTTTGTTGGATGTGCAAAGTGGGGATAGAAAAGGACCATTAGGTGGCGGAGGAAAGATAGATTTCTCGACATAGTACAGACAAGGTTTTGTTGACAGATTTGGCTCGCGAGATGTTATGGCCCAGTCCATAAAAAAATTGTAACCACTGTGTCCATCTCCAACTTTGTGGGATATACACATGCTGACAACTATTCCTCCACAATTGAAGTAGCTGATTTGAGCAACAACTAATGCACGATTTGTACAATTAGACCAAGGCAGCCCTTGTGGAAATATCATCTCTTCAATAGCATTATTATGCCATTGAAGTGATTCAGATATTGGGGAATTGATTTGGACTTGTACAAACTCAGCACCAGCATCATTACGATCCACAATAGTATTATCCTTAAGTCTTCCGGCGTATGGATAATATAACGATAATGTTTGGGATAATGAGTTTTCAAGAATATTAGATATTTTAGTAGGATCCATTGAAACATCATCTAGTTGTTTTTTGGTGTAGAAAAGTGCAAAAGAGTGTATATGTTACTAAAGGTAAGACAGGAAAGCTTGTGCATCTTTTAGTAGGAGAAGTTAGAGAGGAGGGTTTGATGAGCTTCTCTGATATCATGGATGTAAAGGGGGTGGGATTAGGAGATGATGAAGCCATCTTTTTAAAAGTAACATTCTCGTACTTTTAAGAATTTTATGAGATTTTACTATGTTGAAATGTCCTATTTTGTACCTCGTTCACGTGGGCCTATTTCCGCTAATAGATTATGATAATTATATTTTTAAATTAGTTTCAGATAATAATTGCTTGTAGCTTAGCTTAGTGTCACGATCCAAAATTACTAGTCGTGATGGCACCTAACCCAACCCGCTAGGTAAGCCAACTACTAACTAATCCAATTTCAATATTGCTAATAAGTCAATTAAACAAAATAAATTATCTGGATCTATTCCGTTTCCCAAGGATTGGTAGTACAAATCATGAGCTTCTAAGAATAGAGTTTACAAAGTTACGAATAGAGTTTACAAAGACGATATGAATAAAATGCATCTTCTGTTTGAAAAGTACATAAACAGAGTTTTATAAAGCTAAGGCTACCATGAACAAGAGGCAGCTACATCAGGGACGCAGGTACACCTTCAAATCCATCCACCATCGAACGCAGCAACATCGGCATCCGGGATCTGCACGCAATGTGCAGGAAGTGTAGTATGAGTACAACCGACTCCATGTACTCAAAAAGTAACAAACCTAACCTCAGGTTAAACGCAGTGACGAGCTGGAACATAGGTCGGGTTCAACACCAATATCCAATAACAGTTCATAACATTGTAAAGCATATAAATAAGGAAGTAATCCAGAGATAAAGTGTTCATCTTTTTCACAATTTTCCCAAAATAGTCCCGTCTGTCAAGAATATCAGTAAAACCCAAGTTCTTTACCGAAAACATCGTGAAATATGAGTTAATTTGAAAAAAAAACTGTATTTTCTTTTCCAAAACTCTTTTTCACAATAATTAAGATGTTTCATTTTCTTTTCAGATAGCAAGTGTGAGATACCCCTCTATGACCACTTATCAATGTATGTAAATTGTCATGAACGACGTGATACCGTATATCATGAGAAAAATGTGTCTCAATGCATGTATTCATATATGCATGCCAATACCATGTATCTTAGAGATGAATCGTGTACTCAGACTCTCAAAGTACTCAACCTCACTGTATCACACTTTCCACTCATCATACTCAACCACTCGGTACTGTATATGGCCCATTTGGCCTAGGGAAGATCCATCCCGGAGTATATACATCACTGACCATCAGTTACTCAGTACCGAGGAAGGCCAATCCGGCCCCATGGAGAAGATCCATCTCCAGGTGTATAAATGCTACGGACAAGATCCATGTCCAGGGAAGATCCATCCCTCAAAATAATCAATCGCGCCCACTGTGGGTGTGCAGACTCCGGAGGGGATCCTACGGCCTAAGCGCTATAACAAGCTAATCACGGCATAAATCAAGCGCTATACACAGAGATAGCAACAGGGGATCTCCTGGGATACCGTCCCATAGTCCCAAACGTAAATGTACATAGGATCTCCCGGGATACCGTCCCGTAGTCCAAATCGTAAATGTGCATGGGGATCTCCCTGAATACTGTTCCGTAGTCCCAAAGTAAATATCCAGTACAGGGGGATCTCCTAGGATACCGTCCCATAGTCCCAAACATAAACATACAGGGGAAACTCTCGGAATACCGTTCCGTAGTCCCAAAATAAATACACAATTCACTCAATATTCACAACAATTCCAGCTAGGAAAAATCTATAGTTCTAATCAAGTTCGTAGCAAAGAAGACAGGTAATTCTTACTCTAAACATGCTACACAAAATCCAAGTAAGCAGTTAAAGTAGATAAGACATTTAAGGCACGTAAGCATGCTTTCCTAAGCTAAACGGGAGGCTACATAGACTAGTATTGCTCAATTGAAGGAAAAATATAGATATTACTTAATGAAAATGGGGTTTCTCAACAATTAGCACGTGTACGCACTCATCATCGCACGTACATGGCATTCATATAACAACAGTACCAAAATCCTAAGGGGAGTTCCCCATACAAGGTTAGACAAACCACTTACTTCAAACCAAGCTCAAAATCAATCTGAAATCATGCTCTTGCCACGAGTATCCAACTCAGAGTGGACCAAATCTAATCAAATCAATTACATAACGTAAATATAGCTACAAGCAACTTATTTAACTAATGAATTCAAAGCTAAGGCAGGAAAATAGAAAAATGCCCAAAAATCCTCCCCGGGCCCACGTCTCAGAATCGGGTAAAAGTTACCAATTTAGAACACCCATTCACTCATGAGATCACTCGTCTAAAAATTATTCAATTCCGACGCTTAAAACCCGATCAAAACCCAAAAATTCGATTAGGGAACTTTTCCCCCAAATTCCCATCTTTCCCACTCAAATTCCTTGATTAAATGAGGAAAACAACAATAGATTTATGTATATTATCCAAACTAGAGTTAGAATTCATTACCCAATAGTTCTCCTTCAAAATCCCTCAAGAAATCGCCTCCCACCGAGCTCAAAATCAAATTTTGTGTTATGAAACTTCAAACTCTCGGAACCATCTTTTCTGCCCAGCAATTTTCCGCATCTGCACTCATGGGGCCGCATCTGAGATCCCATACCTCCGGAAAAATCATCGCAGGTGCGAAAGTCACTTATCCGTGCTGGGGCCGCATCTGTGGTCCCCCAGCCGCACCTGCGGTTCCTGATGCCCAAGCCGAATTTCCGCATCTGCGGCTTCCTAACCGCTTCTGCGGCTCCGCACCTGCGGTCCTACATCCGCAGGTGCGATTATATTAGGTTCAACAAACTTCAGAAAATGCCTCAGTCCAAATCAAATCCGTTAAGCATCCGAAACTCACCCGAGGCCCCGGGGACCTCAACCAAACATACCAACCAATCCTAAAACACAATAGGAACTTAGTCGAGCCCTCAAATCATATCAAACAACGCTACAACCTCGAATCACCCTCAAATCCAAACCTAATGAACTTGAATTTCCAAAATTCTACAATCGATGCCGAAACCAACCAAACCACGTCCAATTGACCCCAAATTTTGCATACAAGTCATATTCACCACAACGGACCTATTCCAGCTTCTGGAATCGGATTTCGTCCTCGATATCAAAAATTCCACTATCGGCCCGAAACTTCAAAAATTCAACTTTCGCCATTTCAAGCCTAAAGAAGCTACGGACCTCAAAAACATAATCGGGACACGCCTCTAAGCCCGAAATCAGTGACGGAGCTAACGGAATCGAAGCTAACGGAATCGACGGAATTCCATTCCGAAGCCGTCTTCTCATTGGTCCGACTACGGTCCAAATTCTAAGACTTAAACCCTCATTTAGGGACTAAGTGTCCCAAAACACTCCGAAACTCAAGATAAACCATCCCGACAAATCACAATAGCAGAAAAAGACACGGGGGAAGCAGTTAATAGGGGATCGGGGCGTTAATTCTTAAAACGACCGGCCGAGTCGTTATATCCTCTCCCTCTTAAAACATTCGTTCGTCCTCGAACGATCATAAAGACATACCTGAAGTGGTGAAAAGATGAGGATAATGGTTGCGCATATCCTGCTCGGTCTCCCAAGTCGCCTCCTCAACTGGCTGACCCCGCCATTGAACCTTTACCGAAGCAATGCTCTCTGATCTCAGCTTTCGAACCTGCCTGTCCAATATAGCCACTGGCTCCTCAACATAAGATAGATCCTTGTCCAGCTGGACTGAACTGAAATCCAACACGTGAGACGGATCGCCGTGATACCTCCGAAACATCGAAACATGAAATACCAGATGAACTCCTGCCAAGCTAGGAGGTAAGGCAAGCTCATAAGCAACCTCCCCAACACGCCGCAACACCTCAAAGGGGCCAATAAACCATGGGCTCAACTTTCCCTTCTTCCCAAATCTCATAATGCCCTTCATAGGCGACACCCGAAGCAAGACCAGCTCTCCAACCGTAAATGAAACATCGCAAACCTTCCGGTCCGCATATCTCTTTTGTCTGGACTGGGCTGTGCGAAGTCTATCCTGAATCACCTTAACCTTCTCCAAAGCGTCCTGAACCAAGCCTGTGCCCAATAATCTAGCCTTGCCCGGCTTAAACCAACTCACCGGGGGTTTACACCGCCTACCATACAGAGCCTCATACGGTGCCATCTGAATGCTGGACTGATAACTATTATTGTAGGCAAACTCCGCAAGTGGAAAGAATGATCCCAAGAACCTCTAAACTCAAATCACACACGCACGAAGCATATCCTCAAGAATCTAAATAGTGCGCTCGGACTGTCCGTCCGTCTGGGGGTGAAATGCTGTGCTCAACTCCACCCGAGTACCCAACTCATTCTGTACGGCTCTCCAGAACCGTGATGTAAACTGAGTAACTCTATCTGAAATGATGGAAAGTGGAATACCATGTAGACGAACAATCTCTCGGATATAAATCTTCCCCAACCGCTCTGAAGAATAGGTAATACACACAAAAATGAAGTGTGCGGACTTGGTCAGCCGATCTACAATAACCCAAATAGCATCGGACTTCCTCAAAGTCCTTGGAAGTCCAACCACGAAGTCCATGGTGATCCGCTCCCACTTCTACTCCGAAATCTCTATCTGCTGAAGCAAGCCACCCGGTCTCTGATGCTTATACTTCACCTGCTGACAATTGAGGCACCGAGCTACAAACCCAGCTATATCCTTCTTCATCCTCCTCCATCAATAGTGTTGCCTCAAATCCTGGTACATCTTGGCCGCACCCGGATGGATGGAATACCGCGAATTGTGGGCCTCCTCCAAAATCAACTCCCGAAGCCCATCAACATTGGGTACACATATCCGACCCTGCGTCCTCAATACCCCGTCACCACCAATGGTCACATC